TCTATATGGACTTGGAGAAGTTCTATAGAGAAGAGTTCTACAGAGTTCTGCACATTCTTCAAGGTTATCATTGGAGGTTTCAACGCCAAGATTGGACCAAGAAGAACGTCTAAAGAACGTCACATTGGGACCCACGGATTAGAATGGAACGAACAGGGTGAGCAGCTGTCCGAGTTTATCATGGCGACCAAGACAATGCATGGTAACTCGCAATTCCAGAAGCCCCACCCTCAGCGCTGGACGTGGGTGTCTCCCAATGGACAGTACTATAACCAATTAGGCCAAACCATAGTAAATAAACGGTTTTACCTAAGAGATTTTGCTGTTGTCCCAAAATTCCAAACGGGATCAGACCACCGTCTCCTTCGTGCAGGATTCTACTTTTCGCGGAGAGAAGAAAAAGCCGCTGAATTCAAAACTGAAGTCTCAGAACCACTATAAACTGGGAATTATTCAATCCATTATTCGGCTATTGGAAAGATGCCGTTGTCGATAACATCGACGTGGTATACGATCAGCTCATTCAACATCTTCACGTTAGCGCTATGAAAGCCGAGAGTTCGAAAGTCACCAGGAGACGTCTCTCTCCAGAAGCACTCGAGCTGATACGTCAGCGTGGAATCGCACAAGCTGCACGCAACCGCGAACTAACGTCCGAACTTGCAAAACAATGTAGACAAGCGATAAAAGAGGATGTTAAGGAGAGAAGAGAAGAGTAGCAGTAAAGGTCGAAGCTGCAGAGGCTGGAAAAAGTTTCACAAGCCCAAGCGAGGCTTGGCCAATTACAAGACCAAGATGATTGCACTCCGACGCCCAGACGGAGCAGTTACAGCGTCTAGCAAAGCAATGAAGAAAGCCATTCACGAATAGTACTCGGATGTCTTCCTTAGCCACGTCCACCTTCCGTCGTATGAAATAAAGGAGGTTGGATATGTTGTACCACCGGTTCTCCCTTCCGAATTCCGACGTCGGTGAAAAATCGAACAGCATCAGGTCCGGACAGGATAATACCATTTGCTCGGCTCTTCGTACGTTAACTATCTGAATGCAAGAACCCTGCCCAGTTGAAGACCAACAAGACCGTGTTATTGTTCAAGAAGGGTGACCAACACGATATCGGCAACTATCGCCCAATCTGCTTGTGTCTGTTGTCTACAAACTTTTCACTCGTATCATCCTAAATAGGATTGACAGAACACTAGACGAAGGACAGCCATGTGAGCAAGCAAGGTTTCGTGAAGGATTTGGTACGATGAACCACATCCACACTCTAACAAAGCTCATTGAAGTATCGCGAGAGTACAAAAGACCGCTATCTATCATTTTCATAGATTTACAGAAAGCCTTTGATTCTAATGAGATAAAAGCAGTCATCGAAACCCTTGATAGTCAAGGATTGCCTACTCAGTACGTAAAGATTGTTCGTGAGCTGTGCAAGACTTTCCCAACCAAGGTATCACCATTTTACAACGATATTAACATTGACGTCCAAAGAGGAGTTAGGCAAGGCGATACCATCCCGCCAAAATTATTTACCGCCACCCTCCAGAACGTCATGCGAACATTGGAATGGAATAATATGGGAGTGAAAATCGATGGGGAGCAGTTACACCATTTTCGCTTTGCTGATGACGCCGTCCTTAAAACACCAAACATTAGTGAAACGGAATGTATGCTTGCCGACTTTGATAAAGCTTGTAGAAAGATTGGTCTAGGACTAAATCTCACAAGAACGATGTTCATGAAGAACGGATTGGTTTCGTATTCCCTGTTCACGCTCAACGAAACGAATATCTCCGAATGATCCAGTTGTATCTACCTAGGTCGGGAAAACAATGTGATGAACGACAGCTCCAGAGCTGAGCAGAAGGAAACGAGCAGCTTGGAGAGCTTTCAAGAGCATCGAGGATGTAGTGAAGGGAAACAAAGAACACTCGACTCCGTGTCCACCTTTTCGACTCAACGGTGATTCCTACCCTAACGTACGCGACAGAAACCTGGTTGCTGCGTAAGCAGGACGAAAGATCACTCAGCGTTATTGGACGCACAGTCGAAAGGACGAAGCCTGGAGTATTCCGTTTCACACAAGGGATGGGATCCGAAGCTCCGACCTGCGTCAACGATCAAAAATCAAAGATACCGTTCTTTACGCCAAACAGTCGAAGATAAGGTGGGCCGGACACGTAATGCGTATGAACGACAACCGATGGGCAAGATTCGTTAATGACTGGATTCTTCGGGGTATTATACGCGGTGCAGGAAGATCACCGACTCGATGGTCTGAGGTCTTCGCGAAGAGCCTTGAAGAACGATATGATGCTCCACGAGTCCCTAGAGCGAGCAGAACCCACTGGGCTACTCTTGCACGCGACAGGGAAAAATGGAAGATTTGCTTGTGCTAGCTCGAGTCACTTGACGATCAACGGGACTACAGGTGATATACAGGCAGTCATAATTGAAAATATTGAAAAAATTCGAAGCCCAATGTCTGAACACAGTGTGGTAATCGAGTTTCTCACCACACAAAAGAGTTGGATATGCTCAAATAACGTAGAAAGGTATGTAGAAGAACGAGGAGAGAAACGTAGAACATAAAAAGCTACAGCGAAGAATACAAAAAACGAATGATATTGCGAAAAGCAGCAGTGGACATGTGGTAACTATATTTTTTGTGGGCGAGAAGGACCACATGCACTGATTTAAATGCACACCGCAAACAAAGAACAACTAGGAGTAGTTCCATAGTCTGCCATAAATCTATTAAGTGTCAGTGCACTTACTCGAACTTATCGTCTATCGTTTATTTTACTACTATTATTGTCACTGCTAATATTGCAAGTTTCAAAATAGCTGCATAGAAAGTGAAGTTCTAAGATATGGAAGCGTACCGAACAGTTTGCATTCGACCGTCGTGCCGATTGGAATCCGAAAGTCCTTTCCCTTTTCCGCTTCGGTTAGCTGTTCTGCTTGCTCGAAATTGCTCAATTCTATCTTAAACGACCAAGATCTTTTTCACTCATTAAAGTTAAGTAATAACCTAGTCATTAATACCCGTGAACATTTTTGTTATAACAAAAATTAATGGAGAAAAACTTTGTTCTCAACTACATTGCCTGTTTTTCATTTCGATAATTCTTAGCATATTCATTTCTGAATTTATGCTGAACTTGTTAATCGTACTATCACTACTAATTGCTCAGTTTCTTACGTGCGGACGTGTTTAGCGCAGTGGTTCGAGGCGCAGTGCAATCAATACAAATGGGATCGATACCGGGTAACAGAGTTACCAACCGCTCCATAACTCCAGAACCGAAAAGTTGGTACCAGACTTGTGTAGGAGGATAGCAACATTGACTTCACACATCGGTTGGCCAGCGCGAATCATTATAAAAGACAGCTATGCATTCAAATCTCCTCTAACGGTGTTTGAAGTCGAATGCATAGGCACACCTCTCAGGGATTGATCAACGCCGGCAGCTTCTTTAGCTTTTAATAATACATGAATCTATTGAGGGTTATTGAAAACCATATCGCCTTCTTTTCCTTTCTGTATAGCTTTTTAATCAGTGATAAGTCTGAATGAAGGGGCTTGACGCTTCTGCGGAGATCGAAATCGAAATGACAACAGCGGAAGAATAAGATAAAGAAATAATTTAAGAAGTTTCATATAGTCTTTGTAAGCTAGAATATACTTGCTTCTGTCTTGTTACCAAAGTAACCCTCACCAGTAAGTTGTGTTTTTTCTGCCCGAAGAGATGCAGTGCCTCCTGTGTTTTGTCGACAATCTCTTTTGGCTTAGTGTTGGTGAAACCATGCACTGAAATTGAAAATACCCATCTTCGACATTATTTCTATAAAGATCCGCCGAAAATGCCTTTCTACTTTTCCTGTATAACTTTGCGAATCGCACCATAAACAAAGCACGAAGAATAATAGATAAAAGACCCGGTATTGATCAACTACTTGAGGATGCGCCATAGATTCGGCTCCATCAAGCACCGCTGGTGGTGATTGAGTGCACATATGGCCTATACACAAGTCAGTGTTGCTATTCCCCCAGACAAATCTGGCACAAATTTATCGATACTTGAGGGATGGAAGGCTTAGTGAGCCAGGGGGTGGGACCAAAGACCGCTTGCGAATTGCGGGGAACCTCTAACCACTGCGCTACCTGTCGCCACCCAATTTGTATAAATTTTTCTTAGCGTACCAAAATTGGGCATGCGCATTATGAAATATTGGAAATGGATACTGGACAGCATACTTCTTGAACATAACAAATTTGAGTGGATGGTCTCTATAGATGTCGTCGGTGGGCTGATTGCTAATGTGTCATTTGACCAGAAAAGACTAAAGAATTAAATCATCAATATTGTTTAATTGCACGGCACACGAATATGAGTGAACGTTTGGGCAAAGAGTAATTGATACGCATTTGGCATTTTGTGGAATATTTCAAGATTCAGGCAGAAGCATGAAAGAAGGTGGTCTAGCAAGAATGAACTGAAAAGAAAAACAAGTGGAGAGAAAATATTTCTGCGAACATAATTCCCAACAGGGTGTAGGCATTCAAAACGATGTTATTACGTCGTGTTAATAGCCTGTAACACGACTATTGAGACATTGGGATTCGTAAGCAATGAGTGATTGTGAGGTAGGTGGAGGAGTATCTGACTGCGATTGCGCGAAAATTGACGAAGGAACTAGGTTGCCAGCACTTCACCACCCATGATCGGCACCTTCATTTAGTCGGTGGTGAGAAAGTGAAGCTACTTTTGAGCAAACCAAGCTTCCTGAATGCCATTTTCTCAGTCATTGCTGCAAAGACGACTGCAATGAACTCGAGGTTTGCTCTGTTATAGCTGTCCATTACTTAGATTATTAAAGTGCTGAGCAGCTCTGTTGGGAAAGTCTTCTATGTTTTGCTTAGAGTCAAATCCACCATTTGATTTTAATTTTTCTGAATTTCAAAGATCATCATAGCTCAAGAAACATCTTTGCTAACCTTTTCCATCGACAGTGACTATAGTAAACTCTGGGACATTGTTGCTGTTCATTTTTGAAATGAATCCAGAAATGATATTTTGTCCTGCTAGTGTAGAATTCCGACAAGCGATTTCACCGTTCTCACTGATCGAACGCACATCGATCTGAAACGGTCATAAAAATTAATTCGAAGTCATCTTTCTTTCTTCGAATTCATATGTGCTCATGCTGTGGTAAATTTGTTCTATGCTCATAGAGAAGAGAAGCAGCAAATCAGGTTACCCTCTGTGTCTACTGAATGTTTCTTGTTTTTAATTTTCATTAAATCTGGCAGTTTACAAGAAATTTCATTGATTTTGAATGTTTTGAAGTTTCTGGCTACGAACTATGAAGTAATGGCTTTTGAGAGAATGAGCAGTCGACTTTTCAGGATTGTTTTTAGAAAGCTTCCAACTTGATCAACGAAAAGTGACGGTTTTTACTAGCTCATCAACGTTGTAATGAAGTTCATGCTATTACAAATGTAAACGCAGTAACAAAGGAATAATATACTTTTCCCGAATTCCATATGCACGTAATCATTTCATCGTTTGGATAGGGCAGAAGGGCACTGATGACGCTCTTCGACTTGATTCGCCATAGACGCTGATCCTGATGATAGACACCAACGGTTCCATTTGCGAGTGCGTATCCAAAATGACTTCTATAAGCACAGTGATTCTTATTTGCTGCCATGTTTACTTCACAAACTCTGCCAACTATGTGCTCTAAAATTTCCTTGACATATTCGAGCTTCTCTTATTTAATGTTGAGTGTTCACTCTAAGTATTAGTGATTGATCATAGGAGGTATACTGCCTTTAGCTGATCCTTTCCAGCTACCCTGCTTTATAACCATCTTTAAGTAGACGATTTTTAGAATGAAACACCACTGCACTCACTTATTGATTGCTTGAAGAAGAATGACAGCGCCGGTTTCAAGAAGTTCAGTTCTCATGAGGTCATTTTTAAAAACTCGCAATTCGCCATCAGGCGAACCAATAATTAACTGGAATATTTTCCAATTAGTCGGACTAGTTAGTTATGTTATTGGTTAGAAAACTTTTCAATTTTTAACATTCTGGCGGGTCATAATCACTCACTTCCATTTCCCCATCGGCGTCAAAATCACAGAAGCACATCGTTGTTACGGAATCACCTGAATGACTAGTTTTTCTCAGCGTGTACAGTTTTTAGCTTTTTTGTTTTTGAGACTGTAGCTCATCATATTACCAATACGGTTCATTAAGTCAAAGTATACCACCAAAGCTGTACTCATTCGTCAGCAAAAAAGGATAGAAGGTTCTTCCTTGTTCATTCTCCTAAGCTACGCAATAATGTGTTCAAGCCCATCCCTAGCATCACAGAATTAATTACGATTTCTGGTGGCATATCGACGTATCACGCTAGCTTTAACTGAAGTAAGAGTTTTTGCTAGTCTGGGACGATGGGTGGAACTAACGACCACGTGTGCATTGCAGAATACTTCTAGTCGCTGCGCTACATGCACCTTTAACCAATATGAAGTGTGTGAAAACTAGATGTTTAATTTTGTTGAAATTCTGTCTTCAGTTAAAAGCTGTAGATCCAAAGAACTGCGTACCTGTGACAGTCCAGTAGATACCCCTGCCGGTTTCGTCGAATCCCCAAATCGCACAGTTGCCTCCGCACAAGATCATACGATCCAAATCGGCTAGTTTACCAACCTCAAGGAGAAAAAAGGTCCGTATCAGAGGCTTTGCGACGAGTCACTTACGCTTTATAACAATTGGAAAAAAATGGTGGATAAGGTATCAACTACGCGTTACTATATCTTTGTACTAATAATAGTAATTACATTTTTGCATAAAAAGCGATCAATTCTCTAGCTTTTCGTTTATTTTTCTCCGAAACTAGGACAAATTTCGAGCGACCACATGATGAGTGGTCAGTGTAGTCCTATTGATTAGAAAGTGAATCCAGCAAACGTTGTTAGCACCTACATAGAACATCAGTTTTCTTTCGGAGGTTACCTAAGCTGTTTCTGCTACAGGGAAAGGACAAAAAAGTGCAGCAAACCACTGCCAAAAGTTAGAAAGTTAGAAAAATATAATACCGCAATTGTTCCAGTGTGGTCTTAATATTCCCGGGAGCTGTTAGTGGGTGGGTGCGTCCGACGTATAATATCTTTGGATATTTGCATACCTTCACAGCCCTCTTCGCGAGTAATGCGAACACCAGCACGTTTTCCATTCGTTTCCTTACCTCGCAATCGTCATCCATGGAGGTGGTTTGATTCATACATGGTGACGGGTGCGAGTATCATACCGTGATCTGTAGAACAACTGCAAGTGCAGCTGTTTCACTTTAATTACGAGTACAGTCGCTAAACCAGTAGGTGGTCTTCCTAGGAAACGCCTGCATCCATGTGGGATCCACTGCACAGTTCTTTTCCACCATCTATCCGCTATCGATGCGTGCTTTTTTTGCGTCTCGAAGATTAGACAGATTTGAAAGATAAGAAGTTTGTAATCCGACTAGACGTTGTGTGTCCCGATTATATCCCAGAAGAAATCATTCAGGCACTATGTGAGTACTGCCCAGTATTCCTGACGTGGTTAAAGTGTCAACCCATGTCTCTGCTTCACAATAGAGCGCTGGAAGTACCGTTGAATCGAAAAGTCAGCACAGATTTTCGGGTCCTTCGTTTCGTCGTTGGCTTCTTTGAAGGACCCGAATACTGCTCTCCTTCTTCTGTCTAATTCCTGTTTCATTTTGTTCTTCATGTTCACTGAAGGTCAAAGGCAAACGTACGAGGTGCTCTCTGCATTCAGAGAACCTTTCACTTTGATCTGTTTACCTTTATGCTATGGGTTTCTTATGAACTGGGTCTTCTCTCGATTTCTTAGTTGGGAAGGGACCTGTAACGTACACTAGATTATTGTTTTCCTGTTTGATTCAAACTGAGTAGTCGGCGTCATACAACTTGCAGTACATTACCACCTTTTTCATTCATCGGAAATAGCTCACAACATTGACTAAAGGTATTTCTTCACATATCAATTCCCAGGACCGACTTTTTATTAGCTTTAGAATTACTCTATAAGTCAGTGGTTTATTCTTGAGCAGATACAAGGCTTTCAACAACAAGATCTTTTCACAGACCACACATAGTTTTACATAGGTAAGAAAATTCTTTCCTCACTCATATAAGTCTTTGAGCGGTAGTCTCTGTTAAATAACTGGAAAACATACAAATAACAAAACGGTTCCGAAGAACGTTAAACCTGCAAAACGTCAACCAGTATTGAATAAATCTTGTTATAGACAGCTATATGTTAGCTCAAGAGTGAAATAGTGATTTCTTCGTTAGTATCAAGAAAAATTTGGCGCATGTGGCGCAGTTGGAGGCGTCTCGCAACACACACGTGGAGTCGATCCCCGCTCCCATGGCCCATCAAGCCTTCCATCCCTCCGGGGTGGGCAAATTGATACCAGACTTCTCTGGGAGGGCAGCAGCACTGGATCGATACATCAGTAGGCCACCACGTGTCATTTTAAAGGCCAGATATGCGTTCAAATACCTCTATACGATGCTAAATGAAGTCGATTGCACGGTGCATCCCTCGGGAATTGACCAACGCCAAGAGCTTTATCTTTTAAGCTTTAGCTTTATAATAAAAGTCTTTTAGCATATTATCCATGTTTAAGAACGTCGCTTTGACCTTCTAAAGCTCAGTCCAGCAGCAAAGTTCCAATTGAGACAAAGAAATACAGGATAAAGCGCTATGCGCTGACCAATACCCTAGAGATCACCTGTATCACCTGTAGTCCCGGTGATCGTCAAGTGACTCGAGCGGCGCCAGTAAATATTCCATTTTTCCCTGTCGCGTGCAAGAGTAGCCCAGTGGGTTCTGCTCCCTCTAGGGACTGGTCGAGCATCATATCTTTCTTTCAGGCTTTTGGTGATGAACTCTAACCATTGAGTCGGTGGTCTTCCAGCAGTGCGTTTAACATCTCGAGAAATCCGGTCACTAACGGCTCTTGACCATCGGTTGTCATTCATACGCATTAAATGTCCGGCCCACCCTATCTTCAACTGTTTGGCGAGCAAAACGACATCTTTGGTTTTTGGTCGCTGACGAAGGTCGGAGCTTCGGACCCCTTCACTTACTTGTGGGAAACGGGATACTCCTAGCATCATCCTTTCGGCTGCGGTGCAATAACGCTGAGTGATCTTTCATCCTGCTTACGCAACGACCAGGTTTCAGTCGCATAAGTTTGGGCAGGATGTACCGTTGAGCCGAAAAGGTGGACACGGAGTCGCGTGTTCTTTGTTTTCCTCACTACATCCTCCATGCTCTTCAAAGTTCCCTAAGCCGATCGTTTCCTTCTGCTCAACTCTGGAGCTAGGTCGTTGATCATGTTGTTTCCCGATCTAGATAGACATAACTGGACCATTCGGAGATATTCGTTCTGTTGAGCGTGAATGGGGCAAGCGAAACCAATCCGTTCTTCATGAACATCGTTTTTGTGAGATTTAGTCGAAAACCAATCTTTCTACAGGCTTTATAAAAGTCGTCAGGCATACGTTCCGCTTGGCTAATGTTTGATGTTATAAGGGCGGCGTCATCAGCAAAGCGAAGATGATGTAACTGTCGTCCATCGATTTTCACTCCCATATTATCCCATTCCAATGTTCGCATGACGTTCTAGAGGGTGGCGGTAAATAATTTTGGGGAGATGGCGTTGCCTTACCTACCTCCTCTTTTGACTTCAATGTTAATATCGTTGTGGAATGGTGATATCTTGGTTGTGAAATTTTTGTACAGTTCACGGAGAATCCTTATGTCCTTAGTAGGGGCTCCTTGACTATCAAGGGCTTCCATGACTGGTTCTATCTCAGTTGAGTCAAAGGCCTTCTTTACGTCGATGAAAGTGAGGTGGAGTGTCTTTTGTGCTCTCGCGATACTTCAATGAGTTTTGTTATTGTGCAGCTGTTGCCCATCGTACTAAATCTTTTTCGAAACCCTTCTTGCTCACATGGCTGCCCTTCGTCCACTGTTTTATTAACCGTGTTTAGGGTGACAGGAGTGAAAAGTTGTAGACAACAGACAGCAAGCAGATTAGGCAATAGTTGCAGATATCGTGGAGGTCATCCTTCTTGAACAATGCCACGGTCTTGTTGATCCTCAGAGAGTAGGAACACTGAATTCAGAGAAGTAACGTGTGAAGAGCCGAACCAGTGTGTTCACGAGGACTGGCGGAAGGTTCTTCAGGTGCTCTGATCTTATCCTGTCCAGACCTGGGTGCTGTTCGATTTTTCAGCTCCGAAATGGTATATCGAATCCTGAAATGAAAAACCGATGGTACAACATATTCATCGTCCTTTATTTCATATGACGAAAGGTGGACGTGGCTATGAAAGAGATCCGAGTAGTGTTCGTGAATGATTTTCTCCATTGCCTTTCTGGATGCTGTAACTGGTCCGCCCGACTGTCGGAGTGCAATCATCTCGGTCATGTAATTGGTGAAGCTTCGGTGGGCTTTGCGAATGCTTTTCCCAGCCTTTGCAGCTTCGACCATTACTGCTGCTCTTCGCTGTTTAAGTTCTTCTTTCATCGCCTGCCTGCATTGTTTTGCACGTTCGGACGTTAGTTCGCGGTTGCCTGCAGCTCGTTGGATTCCATGCTGGCGTATCAGCTCGAGTGTTTCTGGGAACAAACGTTTCCTGATGACTTTCGAACTCTTAGCTTTCATTGCGCTAACGTGAAGATGTTGAATGAGCCGATCGTATTTCCCGTCGATGTTAACGACAACGACTTTTTCCCAACAGCCGACTAATGAATTGAATAAGTTTCAATTTATGGTGAATCTGAGACTTCGGTTTTTGAATTCAGCGGATTTTTCTTCTCTCTTCGAGAAATAGAACGTATGGAATTTTGGAACAACAGCGACATCGGTTGGGTAAAACCGTCTGTTTACTATTATTTGGTCTATTTCATTATGGCACTCTCCATTGGGAGACTCCCACGTTCATCGATGAGGGTGGGGATTTTGAAATTGCGAGTTACCATGGATGGCCTTCGTCATCATGATAAAGTCGGAGAACTGCTCACCCTATTCGTTCCATTCTAATCTGTGGGTCCCAATATGAGGTTCTTCAGACGTTCTTCTTCTGGTTTGTTCCAGTCTTGGCGTTAAAATCTCTAATGATGACACTGAAGAATGTATAGTAGAACTTCTCCAAGTCTATATAGAACGCTACGACTTTTTTCATCTTCGTCATAGTTTGATGTTTGCGGGTAAACGGCGAAGAATATCAAAGCCGGAATTGATCCACATCTTTTCAATCGTAAGTGCCCGATTCGGGTTGTACGTTGTTCGAATGAGCCGATGTTCATGGACAAACTCGTGTTGACAAGAACGCGACGCCGCAGACTCTTCTACTGTCGCATGTTGTGAGGAACAGTTCTTCTCCGGTGTCATAGACGGCATTGAATGGATGCCACCGTCTCGTATCGGCCAGGACGATGATGTCGTACCAGATTGTTCTTGCTTGCATGAGCAAGACTTTTGTCGAAGACTCGGATGCAAGCGTGTGTGCATTGTAGGTACAGATCGTCACCTTAGTTCTTTGCAATCCAGACAGCTTATATTGTCGCTGAGGTTTTAGCATCCTGACTGTACTCGTCCTACCCAACGTTGCCGATTTGGGGGCTCTTTCGGGGTCAGCGGAATAAGGCCCATTTCTTTTACTGTTTTTAGCTTTATGAAACTCATATATAACTTGCTGGGCTCTGAACGTGGAGGCTGGGTATACTCACGGGTAGCTCGCCATGCTCTTCCAGAGTGGACATGGAGCTCATTTGTTGGAGGCGACTCTTAACCCCCTCCCATATACTTCCCTGTCACTTGATTGCAGGCTTTGCTTGATTTGGTTGAATTGACGTGTAGAATAAAATCCAAATAAACTTAGACGCACCCACACACAAGCATGCATGAATACGCCTCATAAATACAAAAAGTACGTGCCAAATCGGTGCAGTAGGAGCAGGGAAACCATCCCGAGGATGCACCTGCGTTTCAGGGAAATATGTGGTCGCTTTTGATCCGCCATTAACCCCTTGTTCGCCACCTAAGGGCGCGCCACTTAGTCTGACGACTAACCTGATATCAGAATCCCTCATATGAGGGAGATCCGTAAATCCTAGGGATATGCCTTGCATTTCACTTCATCAAGCAGCAAGGGTGATTGAATGTGTAGTTGGAGAATACAGTAACTTGTCAGGTCCTAATGATACATTAAACCAATTTTGTTCATCTTTATAGACAAATCTACTCCCAATTTTCCAGCTTCGGATAAAAAGAGGACTTGGTTACTTCAAGGTGCAGGATGGAACTAGTGACCATGTGTACTGTGGAGCACTTCAACAACCGTGCTACACGTGTCCTTTTAGTGGCAATAGTGAGAAAATCGGCAATAATAAAAATAAATTCTTAGCAATTCACTAATAAGAATCGTTACATCAAAGAAGGCTCGTGAATTGTAAAAAATTGCTAGAACGATCAGAAAGTAGTTGCTTGATATCTCACCACAAAACATTGAACTCCATCAGGTACATCACGATGAAAGACGGTCGAATTTCTATGGAAGTCATAAACGAGCACTTGGCTCTCGGTACCCACAATGATGTAGTCATAGCTATCGCCAAACGGCGCTGTGGTCAGGCATTTAATCTTGTCTGATATGTGTAGAGTGGTCTCATTGTCTGAAAACTAATCCATTTGTTTGATGAATTCTTTGAATTGAATAAACAAAGGACCATTTAATGATAATATCGTCGTTACATTACTGACCTAGAAGTACTAATGATTGAATCTATATTGGTCGTTCCAGCTAGAGCCAAACGATGTATAAACATAAGCTTTGTGAAAAAATGGATTAGTACTGCAAAGTTACTCTTTAACTTACGTGCTTGCCATGCACCACTGACTGCGAACAACAAGTGGATAAAATATACGGTGCTAAGTCTAATTTCATGGACGTAATACTAGGTTTTTGTCTACAATGGCAAGATGAATCATCCACTACAGTAAAACCCATCGATCGATGTCAATCTTCCACTCATTAGAAATGAAGAATCTCGTATTGAGGATAAAAGGCACCACTCTCTGAGGAATACGTCATGCATTCGACTTCATTAAGCATCGTTTGGAGGTGATCCAATGCATATCGGGTCTTTACAATGACTCGCGGTGGCGTACCGATGTATCGAGCTAGTGCTGCTGCCCTCCCAGACAAGTCTGGTACCAATTTGCCGATCCCGGAGGGATGGAGGGTTTGGTGGGCCATGGGCGCGAGATCGATTCCACCTGTATGTCGCAGGGGCTTCCTACCGCTGCTTCACACGCGCGCTAGAGTTTCGTAAAATACATGAAATCAGTGTCGTTGAATTTGTTATCATTTATTCATTTTCTAGAATCGTATCATTGTTATCGTACAGAAACAACATACTTCTAAGTATGATTTTGTTCGACGTGCTAACCGCAACCAACGTCTCGTTGTCATCGGGCAGTACCCGGGCCGACAACGCACACCCGGGCATAACACGTTGATTCAACGAAAAGCTGAAGACACTCGCCAGGTCGAAGACATCATTCCCATTATCCGTAGTTTGTGCATCGTCTGTCATCCTACGTTGAACTCCAATAATCGTTATATTTGTGCAAGTTCATAAGTAATACACTCAGCGAATTTACATATAAGTACAAATTGCCAACCACTGAAATCGATTTGGACAACGCTTTGTAATAATAACAATTGAGAAGTGTACCGCTTTTGTTAGCTTTTCTCACTTTCTCAACTGCTTTCTTACGTTTTTATGTCTATAACTGACATAACTAAAAGTGAGCCCGATAACTGATACAATTGTGATCTCTGAAATGGCTGAAAATGAGCATTATTTTTCACGTTTGCTTCTTTATTTTGGAAATATCCTCCCAATGGTTTACCGCCTTATGGGAAGGCTATATATGTGACTGGAAGGTGTTCCTGGGTGTGCTGGGAAGGAGTCCGGTGTTTCCATCAGGAGCCGTAGACTCCTGGTATCAAATTAGTCGCATGGTGGCAAGTCCACCTCTGATCCACATGGGCTGTAACTGCTTGTGGTGGTGACCGCGTGAAGAAACTCTGACCACCAGACTGTCCTCCGGACTTCAGGACTCCACATTGACTGAACCAGAAAATCTTCGAAGAATGGAAATTATGCTGGGGCTCGCACGACCAGTGAAGACGAGCTATCCAAGTATCCAAGCAAGTATTTTAGAGACATAGAAATTCAGAAGTGGTTTCCCAGTGGAGAATGGATAGAATGAATGAATGAATACATTGTTGCTTTATTCCCTCTTTTTGCACTTTTCACATTGACGTATATACTAGGTATACGTAGGGGTGGTTTCTACAGTGGCAGAACCACCTAGTTTGATTTGATTGCCGCCACAATACTAGTTTTTCACGAACTGGGCTTTCTTCCGACCTATATGTAGTCCGGCCGCTTTTACCGCTTCATTAAGCTCATTGATCGTTGTCTCTGCTTTGTTAGTGCTTCTTGGGAAGATGACGATGTCGTCAACAAAGCGAAGATTTGATTGGGATTTTCCATGAAAGCGTTTGTCTTTCTCATCCCAAACGAATAACTGACTTCGTTATAACTGTACTGCGGTGCTGCAGTAAACAGCTTTGACAGTAAAGTGTCATCCTGTAAAACCATTATTCTTATGGATATGATAAGTGGTCGGCATAAAAGTTGTATATTGGTGCTACAGTTCCGGCAACAGTCAGATAGAGTTCTTATATAGGGTAAGTACAATCCTTGGTCGACGAGCATTGGACTGCCGGGAAGAAGATCTCATACCAGTCGACGAGATGGACATAGATGGGAGGACGACAAGCCCTACTCCGCCAACATTTCGTGACGAGTCCTTTTCTCCGCGGATAACAAGATTTTTGTTGTTTATTTTTCCACGTTCTCTTCCTGCTTTTTGTTTCTTATAGGGCGATGACATGAATTTTGATGCGATCTGTGGCTTCAACAAGGGCCTTAGATCGGCGTAGTGTTCCGGCATTATACGTGCAGAGCAGTCTCCACGGTGTGTCGTACGTGTGTTCGTTAGATCCGACTAGCCTATTGCTGGCTGAGCAATTTGATGCTCCCTGGAGTCCTCACTTGACCCTGCGAGGACGAATCTAGGTCTTCACCACTATGTGAATCCAAGCGAACTAGGTTTTCGGCAACGATTCCTTCGCTCGGTCCTCCTGCTTGTTGATTTGGGGACGGTATTAAAATCGAAATCAAAAACGAAAGTAGGATTGAAAGAATGACCGACCGCTCATGGACGATCTAGAAACCAAAATCTGAATTTATGATTATTACTCGTATATTTTCGAAGTTCAAAACCTCTTTTCATATGAAATACAGAAGAGGGGATGTGTCGTTCCGCCGCTTCTCCTTTCCGAAATCCCACATGCTATTTCTTCGGTGAAAAATCGAACAAGACGTGGTCCGGGTATTGTGAGATCTGAATACCTGAAGAACGCTTCGCCTGTCCTCATCAACACACTGGCTCAGCGCTTCACACGTTGTCTATCAGCATACAGCGTTCCTACTCACAAGAAAAATGATCTTCACGTTATTGGCAACTATCATCGAATCTGTTTGCTGCTTGTCATCTAGAAACTTCAATCGAAACAGGAACGAAAGAACATTGGACGACGGACAGTTACGTGAGCAAACACAGCTCGGAAAAGGATTCAATACGATGTATTACATCCATACCATAACAATGGTCATTTGAATGTCATGAGAATGCAGGAGATCACCTGCCCCACTTTCATCGATTTAAAGGAGGTTTTTAACACAATTAAGATAGAAGCAGTCATGGGATCCCTGGAAAGCCAGGAGGTCCCTACTCACTATATAAAGATTCTTCGTGAGCTGTATAAAAATTTCACAATCAATGTATCACCATTTTAGAACGATATGAACAGTGACGTCAAAAGAGTGGTTAGACAAGGCGATACTAACTCGCCAAAATTATTTACCGCCACACTCGAGAACATCATGCAAACACTGGAATGGGATAATATGGGAGTGAAAATCGACGGTCGACAGTTACACCATCTTCGCTTAGCTGGTGACATCGTCCTTACAACACTTGACATTAGCGAAGCGGAACGAATGCTTGTCGACTTTGATAGAGCCTGTGGAAAGATCGGTCTTCGACTAAATCTCGAAAAAACGATGTTTATGACGAACAGAATGGTTTCGTATGCCCCATTCACGCTCAAAGTAATGAGTATCTCCGAATGTTCCAGCCAAGACTATGTAGGTCAGGAAATCAACATGATGAACGACTTGGTTCCGGAGTTGAGCAGAAGGAAACGAGCGACTTGGGGATCTTTCAAGAGTATCGAGGATGTGGTGAGGAGAATAAAGGTCGGAACTGCTCTTGTGTAAGTTGGAGCGTCCGCTTAATGAGCACGATACCACTGCGCTACTTGCTCCACATTAAAAACATGTCGAAGAAATGTTTATTTCTGACTTTTCTTCTATTCCTAATAAGCTTAGCGAATAAAATAATTGTGTTAAGAAAAAACCTTAAAAACATCTTTTTCAAGAATGCATGTTTTGTAGACGTCTAAATTAAAGGGAAATTTGTAAGCTAACGAAAGAAAGAATTCAGAGCGATCCATGAAGCTCACTTTATCAAATGGATAGTACAAAGTAAAGAAATATGACTTTCGACGTTGACCAATCCCTAAAGGATGCGCCATGCATTCGATAACATCAAGCTGGTGATTGAATGCATGTGGGACCTATACATTGGCTCACGGTGACCTGCTGAAATATCGAGTCAGTGCTGCTATACTCGAAGACAAGTCTGGCACCAGTTTGCCGATCCCGAAGTGATGTAAGGCTTGGACAGCATGTGGCGCTAGATCAAACTCATGTGTATTTCAGGGCACCTCTAAGCATTGCGCTACAGGCCCCTCCAATACGCAATATATCTATACGATTTTTTTCCGCAAACAAGCTGTTTTCATTTTACCGAAAATTGCGCAATTTATATAGCATTGATTGCACGGAACGTTGAAATGGTTTCAAGGAGAATCTGCAGAGTTTCGGCACGGTTTCATTAAACTGCTGCTGCACTGGTTGACCACGGCATTATATTTCCTAAATGTACAGCACAACTAACTATTACCTAGTTCAAGAAATGACAGAAAAGAAGTGCTACCAATAATGAGAATGTCAATGACGGACCAACAACTCAAGTGTACGTATGTAAACTGTCGTCATGACAACGGCGCTAGGGGAAGAAGGGTGGTGAATTTTGCTAGGGCTGCGTATCAGTTGATTTCACCGCGAGCTCTTGGGCAATGGATGGCATAACTTCCTGAATTTGCGATTTCAAAATCTTCCAAGGTCGCTAGTTTGGTAGAGTAGATTTGTTCCTTTAACCAAATCCGGAAAAAATCGTATGTTGTTAAGAATTTAACAACGGATCTGCAAACTCAATAGCGTGCCACGAACCGAGCACATTGGTGCAGAGTACGCCGTGTGGCCATGTTTGTAGGCTTTTCTAATTTCGAAAGAAATTGTGATTTTTAAGGAAAAACACCAAAATAGGTTTAATTCTCATAGGTTAATGCAATGCATAAGTAACTTATAATTATTTTGAAATCGTAATACTTCTCAAACCCCATTTAGGACTCCACCAAGGGGAGGGGGCATTTTTAGGACTTTCGCCGGGTTAGTGCATGATAAATAAGAGAATACACGCTTATTTGTAGCGGATAAGAAGCTAGAGATGGTTAAGCACTACGGTGTGCAGGGATAATCTCAAATTCGAACTGCACTAATTCTTGTTCTCGAGGATGCTTGCATTCTGTTTGTTTTCACTGCACTGCTGCTTTTGTGCATGTGAGCCGTTGCATTAGCTGACCAATCCATTGATGTTTGTCTTTCAATATTCGTCTGTGCTTCATTGTTACTTTACGGGTTTTCCATCCATGCCCATGTTTTTCCCCCTTATCGAACAAACAGATATACTGGCGAGAAGTGCACATAGTTTTTCACATGCTCGTTAGGAAAGCTTCTGTGCACAGCCTGCACACTCGCACTCACAAATCGGGCCGAAGTTGTGGGCCCGGTCATTTCGTATTTGGTAGGTTGTTCTTTCATGAGATTCTCATTTTATAATGGATCCTTTCATTTTAAAGAAAAGGCACATTGATAAGAGGACCTAATGTAGTGAGTGACTTCCAAATGGAAGGAAATCGCTGTGATGTTGAACTACTGGAAATTTTCACTCTGCGAGAGAACTGTGGAATAAAAAAGATTTGTATTTAACTTTTTCGTTAAATTCACATTATGGCAAGAGGAACAATTGATCTTATCTTCCAGCTAGCACAAAGCGTAGTAATAATATTTCGAAACCGACTTTCTCTAAACCTCGGTGTGACTAATCAATATGTATTCTTTCTTGATAGCTGACAAAAATCCCGACTTCTGCACGATGTGCACAACGATAACTGAAACTGTGCTTCCTGTCTAGATGTTCATGCGGAAACAAGGCGGTATATCCGATTCCCTAATGTAATCTTCATCATATGTTTTACACGGGATCAAGT